CATGGCGCAATCCTATATGGAGTTTTTTTTAGAGTTTGAAAGAACATTTTTAAGAGCTCGACGAGCTGAGTTCAAAGGTATCTTCGGACTTTCGGAAGCTCAATTTTGAACCGAGTTAGAACAAATTCACGAAATTCACGCAAAATCTCGGGATTCGCGTGGACTCTTGATTTCAAACGGAGAGTACTGTATATATGCAGCGATTGGCGTGCTCCGCCTTTTGAAATAGACCCCTAATCGCCAAATCAATAGGTGTCTTTTTTTGAAAAGTCGCCTGATTAACTATCAGCCTAATCGAGTGTGCGCTACGAATATTGCCTCATAAACAATTTTTCACTGTGTTAATAAAGAGACTGAGGAAGCCATGCGCAATCCCAGAGATTGAGCTCTTCAGTAGAAAGCGTGTTGCGAATGTGATGGCCTCTCATAGGGAGATTGCGCTACATCTGTCACTCAGAGACCCAGAATGCCCGGTTGGAGAGCTGTCGAATAGTATTGCAACCTTGAGCTTCTCGTGCGACTATTCCGACGGTAACGACTACCGACAACGGCCGCGGCTACGCGCAACGTGGATTTCGACGAATGGATTAATAGGACTGAAGATGAGAGGTGAAATCGAGTGATAACAATTGATATGCCCATTTTATAAAATACTCCGAACACGCCCCTACCGTTTCGTAGGTGGAGTGCTGTTGGAAGAAAGCGCGTCAATGTCGGTTTTCCTGTTCCTGTTCCCTTTTCAGCTCACTCCCCACCTACATACTCATTATGGAACTCTGTTTCGACGGTAGAGTGGTAGAGTGCTCTATGATGCGACTTCTATTAGATTATTTTATTGAAACATCGCTTGTAAATACTAACATTCATTGACATATCTTATACCATAGTTCCTAAGGGCAATTATTGACACACGTTACAACTTATACAATTTATGTCCTACAGTTGATTATGTTTGGTTAGCCTTTATTCTAAATTGGTATTGGGTTCTTCGACAATGATTCGTGCCTTAAGGTATTGATCGGTAGTGGCTGGAGGTGTGAGTTGGTGGTCTTTGGTTAGCGATATTGATTGGTGGCCTTGGCTGGTGGATGGTCCACTGGCTGTACCTTACTGATTACTTTGTGCCTATTGATCATTGGTTATTGCTGGCGTTGCCGCCTTATTATTGGTGCGACCGAAGTCGCTTGTCTGGAGACCGCTGGAGACGACTGGAGAAGTTGAGGAGACCGGCGAAGACCGCGAAGACTGCCCGAGTCTCCGGCTGCAGTATTTATACCCCCAGAAATGGGTGGTATTTAGACCCGGGCCAGGGGGCGGTCCATTGGAATGGCCGGTTGGAATGGATTGGCAGTGCGGCCGGCGGCAATTTGAATGTAGGTTTTGAGTTGCTTAATCGATAAGATGACGTGTCAAGGATCCACCTTGGTTTCTTTCGTCGCATCATGACGAAACGTCATGACACTCCGCACAACGAAGAGGTTGATGAAAAGGCATCATTTTGCCGTTTGCATCCTCCCCGCCACTTAGAATTTATTAGGTTGTCTCATAAACAGTGTCGTTTTTTTTCCAACCGAAAATTTCCATCTAAATCCTCATGCTCATACACCGATTAATATACCATTCGAAAGAAAATTGTCTGCTCTATTAGGGCTTGGGTTCATCTTCTATCTATGTTCCATGGTTTTCAAATTTTTTGCCTGCGAAATGGGAGGTCTCGCCGACAAAAATTGACCAAACCGACAACTAGCTCTAACTTTATTTTCCCTACGGAGAAATCAATCAGTGATGTACCCTTTACTTACTCATGACCTCTTCTGAGCATTCCACCCTTAGTTTGCCGAAAAAGATTTGCCCTGTTTCTTTTCGAATTGGCCGACCGATAACCCATGGCAATTTTCAAATAGAAATTCTTCCTCTGAAACGCGATTGTTTCATATCAACTGGTGTATCTTTTGTGAGCATTCCTTCTGCTCTATCCGCACATTGTTTTGTTTTAATGTTTGTTAGGAATTAGCTCGAATTTTAGGTGTTTAGGAGTAAGGTGATTTATCCACGAGAGTGACCGCATTTGTTTGGAAAGAATTATTCCTGAGAATATGATAAAATCAACCAGGCATACATTCCCAACTTAGTCATGACTTGTTCTTTGAATTCCACCAGTTTTTCAATGTCTCGGCCATAAAAAAATTTCGACCTCGATCTCAGGTAATGGTGCTTGACCGTCAAGTTTTGGTTGAAAAACCAGGTCTAGAAATGGAATGACGCGACTTGTTGGGAAACCTAATAGTGTAATATTTAGAAGAGGTTATGCGTAAGTGGAAGGTACAGTACTGGTTGATTTCTCCCAAGGGAAGATAAAGTTAAAGATAGTTGTCGGTTTGGTCAATTTTTGTCGGCTGGACTTCCCATTTCGCAGACCTAAAATTTGAAAACCCTGGAACAGAGGTGTAAGTGGAATATAGCATCTTGTAGAGCAGACGATTCTCTTTCGGATGGTATATAAACAGATGTAAAAGAATGAGGATATAGATGAAAATTTTTTGGTTGAAAAAAAGCGACACTACTTATGAGACAACCTAATACTTTAGTTGTAGTTGTTGAGTGAATGTTATCAGGTTGGATTTGAGGCTAACCATGCATAACGCTAACCTTACATTGCTTAGTAGTAGTAGTAAAAGTAGTATGAAAAAGAGTGCAGTATGAAAAATTGAAATGGTTGACATTAAAAAATACAGCGGTATCTGCTTAATGTCACCTACTACCAATTCACTCAAATCACAAATCTAAACTACAACATTATGGAGTATTGTCCGGTGTGGATTTGTTCTGGAGTAGTGGAGTCGTTTGTCGAAATACTGCGATTGATATGTCGAGAAGAGGGCGTTGAATTCGTAGATCGTTAGTGGCGTAGTAGTCGTGACGAACCGAGCAGTTGTAGTGGAAGTCGTAGGGCGGCGGTGGCGAGTGAGAGGAGTGCTTGAAGAGAGAGAGAGAGGGAGAGAGAGATCAAAGGGAATATGTGTATTAAAGAGAGTAGTTAGATGATTGTGTATTGTTGGTTTTGTGTTGTGTGTTGCTAGAGTGGATTAGGCTTTGGCTAAGGGTTAGTGTGCTGAGAAGAATAAAAAAACATGGTTGTAGAGCATGAAGGGGGTGTGTGCAAGTGTGAAAGAAGTGGGACATGTTGCAGAGAGAGAGAAGAGAGAGAGAAGGAGGAGGATTTCTTGTTAGATGTTGGATTGTGTTTCCATAGCTTAATTTATTTTTAAGGTTTAATTAAGTAATTTAATGGTGGTTCCAAGCTTGAGTTAGTTGTTGACTAAGAATTCACTCAATTTGTGTAGTTCGGTGTCCAAGTTTGAAGAATGTTGCGTGGGAAGCATATTTTGCTGTGCAAATTTCGTAGATTTTGGTGTTGTTGAAAAAGGAATGTGATTGCACTGACGAAGTTGAATGCAATTGTAGTGAATTGTTGTTGAGTGCAGTTTAGTTGTGCGATCGGGTTTGGCTATTTGATTGGACGAAAATTGTAGCTTGCGGTTTTTCAAGGCATTTGCTGCATCCAATTAATCGTTTGAAGGAATGTGGCTTGAAAGTTTTTAATTTCCTGTACGATATTTTTGTGAAGTGGGTCAGCTGAAAGTAGCAGTTTTGGTGATAGCTCACTTGGTCTTATTATTGTTGTTTAGTTTTTCTGTATTAACTAAATTTCTGAAAATTGGCAAAAGTGGTGTAAGTGAAAGTTGTTCGGATGGAGAAACGTTGTTAATAGTGCAGTAGTTTTCGGTAAGACTGCACTCACAGGAGTTGTTCATTGTACGATTCCTGGTTTTATTTATTGTTCGGTTGGTAGCGGTACATGAGTAGCTGATCTGTGCGTCCTGATGAACGGCTGCAGTTCTTCTCTTGTCAGTGGCAGCTATCAGTATTGAGGTAATATAAATAAAAATTGTATCTAGTTGGATAATGGTAGCTTTATCCCATTTTTTGTCAATTTTTTCGAGTTCGCATGGGGAGCTCAGATCGTCTGGGCCTCCGCGTATTTGTTCTCCTTGTCTACACACAGCTGGAATTTGATGAGGCTCCAGTGTTGTGCACATCCTCATTGACGACTTAAAACTCTTACAAGTAACCTCAGAGGTAATGTGTGCTGTCAGAGCGATGGCGTAGAGGGATTTTGTGGTCAGGTTAATTGCTTTTATTGGCTCGCTATATCGGCTGAATTTATCGGCTGAATTTGAACTAATTTCTATATAGGTAGTATATTTCATTCGCTCATAGCTTGGGCTTGGCGTTCACGCATAGTGTAGTGCTTCTATTGCATTTTTGGTTAACGATTTTAATGTGAAGGGGAATGTTGAGGTGTTACTTGAGTTAGACGTCGAGTAGTTATGTTGTGGTCTGGTTTGTTTTTTTCCAATGCAGAATCAATTCCGTAGACTTGCATTCGTTCTGATTGCTGCAGAAACTGCCAACTGATTTCTCTTGTCACAAACCGTAAGTGTGGGCAGTGTCTGCTTAAGGGGCATGTGGCTCAGATTAGCGTTGACGTTGCTGCCATTGTAGGCCAGTATTTCCACAGAGTTAACTGACTGGCTGGTAGACTGGGTTCGTTTTGTTGTTCTTCTTGCTCTTTTCTATGGTGGATTGGGATTCCGAGTAGGAGTGGTGATGCTTTCATATTAAAGGGCAGACGACAAAAGGGAAAGATTTGTTTGTTGTTGGGGATTGGTGATTGTTTCGCAACCATGAGCCGTAGAAATTGTACTGTGTTGCGTTCTGATCTTTGTAAGGAATTGAAGTGGAAACCTTTTTGCATTCCGGCTGTCATAATCTTAAAACTGAGTTTTGCTTTTAATAGTACGTTATATGAGTTGGGCTGGCTTTTTATGGATAAGGTCGTTGAGTCTTGGTTGTTTCGGCATTTTATGAAAGCCGTCGTGGACAATTTTGGTATTAATCGTCGTACGAGCAGTTTTTATTGAAATTTGATTAGGCATCTAGTATAGGACTTTTGTTGGCTCATCGTTCGTATGTAGCACTTCATTGTCAGCGTTGGGTAGTTTCCGTAGATTGGAATAGCCAAAGTTAGGTTGGTAGTCAGTGCATTGGGAATGGTTTATATTAGTGCATTCGGTAGGGTTTACATTGTTGACCTTGTTTGATAGAAGTTTCATCTTGGTATTCTTATTGTGTGGTGCTCCACATATGATATGACCGAAGAAAGTTGGTGTCAGGTGGAGCCCTGAAGGCAATTGCACCAGAGGTTCGCTTGTTCGGAGCATGATGTTGAAGTAGTCTATTCCCAATAGTATATCAGGAATAATTTCTGTTGTCGTATCGTGCAACCATTTTTCTTGAAGGTTAGGGAAGTTGCATTTTAGGAAGAACTTGTCTCCTTCATCAAGCTCTAGCAGTGGTATTGCGTGTGATATTGTATCAGTCGTAAGCAGTATCACTTCCAAGAATTGTTCTTGTAGGTTCAGTAGTAAAGCTTCGACACGTTTTACGTGCTTCTTCTCGGCATGTCCTCCAAATGTATTGACGGTAATGGAGATTTCCGAACGAGGTATAAGGTGTAGTCTTTCTAGTAATGATGAAGAGATGAACGATTGATCTGATGATGTGATGGATGGTGGACTGGAATGATTGATCGATCTAAAAGGGCGTAAACTTGCTCTCCCTTGTTGATGTATTTATTTTGTATCTTTAGTGGGACCACCATTAGTCTGGCATTCGATGTTACCCAATCAATGAACTCTGCTTCGGTGTCGGGATGGGATGGAAGGTTCATTTGGAAGTTTACGTAAGCTGTATTGATGTTTTTCTTGTTGCTACCGCTTTATTGTATTAGTGGGTTTGACGTGACGAAGAAGTTGCACCAGTGCTTGGGTTGCTTTCGGTGCCGTAGTTTGATAAGGGAGGGGATCCGTTCTGTACCCGATTTGGAGATTGTATTGGTATGTCGTAATTTGTCACTTCTGATGGAGATTCACTTACACTACTTTTTAATACGTTTTGTCTTCGTCTTCGTGGGAAAAGTGATGAGCATCTTAAATAACGGCTTGGTCTTTGCATATTATTGTCCTCTTGAGATTTTCTCTCAGGTCTATGGTGCCTCCACATGACAGTGTGAGGAAGTGTGCTATGATTCCAGCGACGTTCCCTAGTGTCTGATATTGATGATTGACCTTGAAAGGGTGGTTGGAAAGTTGAGTGCGACCTGGCGGATTCTCGTTGGCATAGGATTGGATTATGGTGTCCGCCACAGTTGGCACAGTCCGGCATATGACAGTATTTTGTCTTGTGGCGTGAGTCGAAATATTTCCAACAGGCGCCTAGTGACTTGAGTCTTCCAATCATTTCGGGGATAGTGTGATATATCACATTTTCCAAACGTTTGGGCACGTTTGCACCCAATGCAGTATGGCACCCTTTGGTCACGGGTGCGCGTGTGGAATACCGAGTGTTCTTCATTAGGGCTTTCAATGCGACTTTTGATGAATTCCCTACGTTTGATAATAGTTGTTAGATTTACTAGAAGGTCTTCCATTGTCCATTTGTATCCACTATCAAACTGTTGTGTGCTAGCTATTTCTTCTTTAATTGGTTTCGAGAAAGTTTCGGTTACCAGAGTGACCACATAGGTCTTATCCACCATTTCTCCTTGCTTTTTTAGTGTAGCTATAATGGCTTTAATGTCACTAAGATTATTACGCAGGGAACGTGGGTCGTTATTGCATGGTTTCATGGATGTAAGTTGACGAATCATTTGTATGGTTATTCGCCTTGGGTCTTTGTATTGATCTTTCAATTGCTCTATTGCTTTTTCATATGAGTCTGCGGTCCGAGGAATCATTTGTAGACATCTTGCCGCATCTCCTTTGCAGCAACTCAGGAGAATTGAAAGTTTCCGTATGTTAGAAAAGGGTTGTTTATGAACCAGTTCTTGAAAGAGTTTCCAAAATGGACCGAATTCCGAGGGATTGCCATGGAATTCCGGTAGCTTTATGTCGCCAATGAATAATTCTTGGTCAATCATTAAGGAATTCAATGGTTTAGTGAGAGACTCTTGGTTTGTTTCTTTGGAGTCATTGTTGCCTTGGTTTACTGAATTGATTTGTGAAAGATCAAAGGCGGCTGCTTGACATTCGAGTTCTATTAGCCTCTTGTACAGTTGTTGGGATAATAGTGTTGTAATGGATATTGTTTTGTCTCCTTGTTTTTCTTCCCAGTAATCGTTAAAAGTTTCTTCCAGTGTCTTATCTTCCTCCATGGTTGCTATTGCTTGGATACTGGATTCGTAGAGTGTCCAAGTTTGCTCTGTTTGTTCGTCCAATTGTTGTCTCAACTTAGTCACTGATATTTGGTTTGTTAAGACGAAGAGTTTTAGTTCGGAGTTGTCACTGGGAAACTCCCACTCTGGTCTGTATTGGTTTGAATCTTCGATTAGTTTTTGAAGGATATTGAGTTTTCTTGTTAGCTTTTGCTTTGTAGTGGTGATGTTGAAAGTTGTTGAAGACATGAGGGCGTCCAGATGAGAGCGTCGAGATGAGAGCGTCGA